CGCCAATAACACGACACCGTTAGATCCACTCAATCGCCTGCCCAATGGTACCCCCGAGGGAGGACCCCACGTAGGAGCCTCGGCTGCTGCTGACGGGACAGCCAATCCTGTTGTGGTTTGGAATGCTCTAGCCCCAACCTACTATCCGCTGATGTCCTCTACGGACCTGTTCAATTTCCTGCCCCTGACACTGGACCAGAACATGACTTGTTCATTCTGTCGGAAGGCGTTTCGTTTCGAGAAGAACTTGCTGCGACACCTGCAGAAGACCCATGCCACAGGCAACGGCGAGTCCATTCTGAAGTGCAAACTCTGCAGTTACACGACGCGTCACTACAGCAACATGTATGTCCACATCCGGACACATACAGGTGAGTAGAAATTTCAGCAGTTTATTCAGTGTCATAAAATTTAATTGGTCGACAATTTTGTCCTAGAGGGTCAGCAACATACGCCTCTTCGTAATTATAGTTGGTAGTGCACCTTCTGAAACAGTTTTCGAACTTTCGTAATGTGATATCGATAAGAAAGGCTTATAATATTGGGTGTTGTGTAGTATAATACCAAGATAAGTTATTAACGCTAAGGTGTTGGCTTTTGAATTCAAGTTTCTGCGCATGCCTGTACAAATGAAACACCGAAATGGCTACTTGAATCGTACTATTCTTTTCAAATTAATTTTAAAAGGCATTATAAATCCAAACATATTTATAGAAATGGTGCGGAAAAATATGACTTCCTGTACCCGTTTTGTAGCAAACTATGTCTTCTGTTACTTTCCCTCTCGAAGGAAAAGCATCTCCCAAATTAATAAAGTTTTGCAATACGCAAATAATTTTAAATCCTACCTACCGTTTTACTCGTGTCTAGGGAGTTCAAAACGACAAACTGTGCATTTTCTATGTAGGTATTTTTATACATTCCTTGATAATATTGAGAAGGTACCACGTAGAGCTATACATTTGCAGCGTTGCAAGAAGCATCAATAAACGGACATGTAAGCTGTTGAGACGAATGTT